ACCGCTGGCGGCAGGCGCAGCTGCTGGGCTCGGCCGGCGGCGCCCTGGCCGGGGTGCCCGTCTCGCACTTCGCGGGCATCGACGGCGTCCGCGCTTTCCTGCACTCCTACTCCCAGGACGTGTCTCTCACGGCGGGCTCCAGGAAGAGCCAGTGGAGCTTCGGCCCGCCCAGCTCTGCCGGCACCCTGCCTCGGCCGCCGGCGGGACAGGGCAAGGAGCCTGCCCCGGTGGATAAGGATTCAAAGGTGTGTGAGGCGGACCAGGCTGCGCTGCAGGTGAGCCGACGTTTTTGTACCTTATGACTTCTCTTAGTCGGTCTTGGCGAGTAGCCGTAGATATGTTGAAACTGCTTGACTAGGGGAAGGCCTTTTTACGTGTGATTCGGAAAGAATGTTGAGGACACCATTCCTTTGAGTCTATGGCTTTACTAGAGGGGATTTGACCGTCAAGGTCTAACTTTTGTGGGGTTATGTTACTGATTACTATTAATCAGTAACACCAGAAAGGTAGGCTTTGATGATCAGATCCGCTGTAGTAAAGCCATAGATGCAAAGGAATGCCTGTCTTCAACATTCTTTCTGAATTTTGTGTGTTTTCTGCAGATTTGGGTACTTTTATGTGCGTAAGGCCAATTGTCTTTATGTTTCACCGTTTTTGTATTCTCCACACATATTTCATCTTCCGACTTGGCTTGCAGATGCTGTGACAAACTATGGGCTTTATTGTAATATTTCTCTTTTGAAATGTATTTCTGTTGATATAATTTTGCATTCCCCAGTTTCTCTTTAAAACTAAATAGAGAGTGAAAGAAGGGTTAGCAGGGTCCAGTGCTAAGTGCTAGAACATCTTAAATTCAGGAAAGACCAGAGGTATCTTCAGCAGCAGCAGAGATATGAATGTCCTTGTTGACACATAAACAAAGTGACCTGCGAGGCCTTACACGGAAGGCTCCCTGGGAAGTTGGGGGAGATAAGAGTGACATCGAATGAAACAGCAAGGAAGCAGGATAGTGACCTGAGTCTGAAGAGCAAGATCCTCTGAACAGTTTTGGGGATCATGGCTGAACAGACTGAAACGAAATTCTCCGAATACCTTAAGGGACAGAGGGAGAGCTTAGCCTCATGAGGCGGGCAGAGAACTTCTGTTTGGAAGGCCTTTGCCTAAAGTGCCTTAATTGAAGAGGAGCTTTCTGTGTTGTTGTTTGGAACTTCAGCTACTCTGCTCTGTAACAGGAGGAAAAGTCCCTATTTAGGAGCAGAACTGGAAGGAAACTTTGAGACAACATCATGGAAACCTGCTGAGGTTGAGGGATTGAAAGGGTAGGATCCCAAGGATGGAAGGAGTCAGAGCTGCACACTTCCCATTCTAGAAGCCATGCATGGCTGGCTTCGGGGAGGGGAGCAGGAGCACTTGGAGAGACAAGGGAAGGCTGCAGAGGTGCTAAGCAAGCGTCTCTCCCCCTCTCATCCCCCCGGGGGAATCTATGACATAGCAATCTATAAAGGAAAAAAAATCCTTTATTGACCAGGGCAGAACAATCCATTAAAGAAATCTGTTCCCAAAACCCTGTTATTTACATGACAATTATGTTGTCAGGGTGGTTAAGGCTCTTGTTTCTTGAGGGTGCTGTGTACCATGTTGAAGACTGTCCCCAGTGGACCTGGCTTTGAATTGGTACTTGGTCATGCAGTCTCGAGGTGATGTGAGGCACCTCACTCCCTTGCCTACTCTTACCTCTGTGAACTGCTGTGGCCCGGCCATGTTAGCTGAAGGGATCCTGTGTTCCAACAGAACTTTGACTTGGTTGTATGTATATGTATAGATATATACCAGTGTATTCCAGTTGAAATACAAGTCTACCCAAACGTCATTCCTGAATTCCACATGCACCAGAAATTCGTACCTATGGCTTTAAGGTATGGAAGGGTCTGTCTATAGTGAGGTAGTGACGACAGCACTTTTTAACTACTACAGTCACCGGGGTCTCTGTTTTCCTATGTTTGGATCGTGACAGTTTATGATAATGTGTTTTACAATGGTTGTGTTAATATCTGAATTAAGAGTCTAAAATGTCCCAAAAGGGATTGTATTTCTCTATAGCACATGGAAAAATAAGAATTATGATGATGATAATAATATAACACCAGAAGCCCTTGGCTGCCTCCACTATCTTCATCCATTAACGTCTGTTGTATGCCTTCCTCTTCCAGTCCTCCACCTTTAATTTCCGTAGGTCTGAAACGGTATCATTTAGCCATCTTTGTCTTGGTCAACCGGGCACCCTTCTCCCCTCCCGGAGCTCTGAGGAGCACTTTCTTTGGTGTGCAGATCACTTCCACTCTTTCAACCTGGCCCAGCAACTGTAATCGCTGCGCTCTTATTTCCTGTGTCACGACTGGGTCTCTGTACAGTTGCTGTAATTCATTAGCGGCACTTGTGAGCCATTCTTGTGTTATGGAATCACACTGTGCAACAAATGATTTCCATAAAACCTTGCTGACAAAACGATCTAATAATATCTCATTCGCTTGTGAGCGAAGGTTGACTGCCTTAATTATAGATGGCCTGATTATGTTTTTGTAGACTTGAAGCCTAGTTTACCTTGGGATGAGTTTGGTTGGATGACAGGAGCTCGTGCAAAACAAAGTAATCTCTGTTTCCATTCTTGGTTGAATTTCTATTCTCCCTTCATTTTCTTCCTTTATATTACCATCTAGTCCTATGATAGTCTAAATACTGGAAGTGGGTTACTTGCCTGAAAAATTGTGTTGTTTATTGTTATGGGAGGTCCCTGATTTACTGCTGTTCTGTTTAGAGCAGATATTGTGTTTTATCAGTTTCACTTTTAATCTGAATTTCTTTGCTTTATTTTTTTAATTAGGTACATAGAGCTACTATATCATTCATATTCTCACTTTTGAGATTGATATCATCAGCATATGCAAGGCTCTCTATGCAGTTGAACTCCTCCCCTCATGTTATTTATGCTTCTGATTACTATTCCCAGCGCCAGGTGTAATGGGATAAGAGACAAACGATCTCCTTGTCTCAAGCCTGTTCTAATTGGGAAAGGATCCGATCTTCCTGCGAAGGAGCTACTTCTGTTTCTTGATTTATGCATGCAAACTTGAATTCATCCAATTAGTTTGTTGAGAATTCCTGATTCAGCTAAAATGACCCAAAGACCTTGTCTCAGTATGCTCTCATATGGTTTCTGCAAGTCTATGAACAGAATGTGTCATTACAACCTTTGATTACAATTCCCATTGTTTTCTCAACTATTTGTCTTAGTGAAAAGGTTTGGTCTGTCCTTGATCGGTTCTGGTGAAATCCAAACTGGTATTCTCCCAATATTTCTGTATAAGGTAATAAGCACCATAGCAAGACGGTAGGAAATACTTTTATACATAGATGTTAATAGGATGATACCTCTGTAATTCTGACATTCTAGTTTGCTGCCCTTTGTGAAGATGGGACATATTAAGGAAGAATGATTATCGAATATTTATTTAATAACGGGATATTAAAAGCTGGCAGACTGACAAAGCTTGATTGGATTAGGCATATAAACTTACTTTGATTTATATTTTGTTAGGGTTGTAAAGTTGAACATCTTTGTATCAAAATGATGTAACAATATGGAGCTTTTGAATAGCAATGTATTCACTGTTTTAGAGTGCTCAGATGTTGAAAACCTATCTTCTGTAATGCAGGTGCGGATGAAGAAGAATTCTATTATCTGTATTTATAGTGTAGCCCGGAACAAAAGAAACGATTCCTAATAGTTTTAGACCCCACCCCCCCGTTCTTTGGCAGACAACTGTGGAAGAAAAAGAGAAATTACAGTGGCGTGAGAAAGAAATGAGAACACGGTTCTGCAAAAAGTTGTAGAATTGAGACTTCCTCCTGTCACCCTCAGTTTAAAAATGGTTTGTCAAACACTTCTGATTTTCTTTAGATGGATCTCAAGTGCTTCTGGGCATGCATGGATGTGACTGATGAAAAAGGGTTATAAGTCATAGAAAGGTCGCATTCTTATATATATACACACTAGCCAATTGTCCTCAAGAATGACGGGGGCGGGCGCTGGGAAGAAGTGCCCCCACCTAGCGCCCCATGCTGCCGCTGTTCTGCCTCTTGCAGGGTGTCTATACTGCCCTCCGGGTGGTGGCACCCCCATGCTTGAAGCACTCTGATTGCCTGTTTCAGTCAGCCAATCAGAGTGCAAATAAAGCCTTAGCACAGACAAACACACAGGCTTAGGCTTTTATAATATTAGAATATATAGAGATAGAGATAGATCTCTCTCTCACTCACTCTCTCTCTCTCTTTCTCTCTCTCTATATATATATGTGAAAATGCAGGAAGATCCAGATATTCTCCACACATTCAGATAAATCTTTCCATTCAAAAAAACCCAAAACAACAGCCAGGTGAGAGTAATTTTCACAGTAATATTAGACCGCTTTGTAAATATTATAAGAGTGTTCCGAAATGAAGATTAGGTTCTACGGCAAAACGTCTGGGATGCACGACCATGGCTTCACTAATTATACGCTGCATATACCTTTAGGAAAGGACAAAGTCCTATGCATTCACCAGTGGAGCCGCAGCTGCGCCCGGTCTCATCACTGCAGTTCCCCGACTGCGACTCCGAGTGCCGCTGTTGGCCAATACGCAGCGGCGCTGCAGACTGGGATCCATTGGAGCCTCCTGCAGTGCGATTGCTCAGAAAGCTCAGAGCAGGAAGAAAGCAAAGCAGAGTGACATTCAGAGTTTGCTGAGAAGAGAAAAGAAACCTCAGCAAAGCGCGCGGAACAGATACTGAGCAGGGAACGCGGACACAGTGCTCTCTCCTGTGCCCTGCCTTCTGTCATCTGGCTGGGATTTCTCAGCGCCTAATACGATTGACACGGAAAAAGAAAGACGCTGGGCAACACTCTCCAGGGAATGGCAATGGAAACACGGCAAAAACAAGGCCAGGCGGCAGAATGGCAAGTGCTCTCCTTTCCCTTCTTGCTGGCTCTGCTCTGCGGGGCGGTCTCGGCGCAGATTCGCTATTCGGTCCCCGAGGAAATGCCCAAAGGGTCCCTCGTGGGCAATCTCGCCAAGGATCTGGGGCTGACTGTGCGAGAACTGGCTGATCGCAGGCTCCGGGTTGTCTCTGCAGCCAGAAGACAATACTTCACGGTGAAGGGCGAAAACGGGAACCTGTACGTGAGTGACCGGATAGACCGGGAGTAAATCTGCGGGAAGGCCCCGCTCTGCGCTCTCGCTTTCGAAGCCGTGGTGGAAAATCCACTGAACGTTTTCCACATCAACGTCGAGATCCAGGACATCAACGACAACGCGCCGCGCTTCATACAAGATAAAAATACCCTCGAGATCAATGAATTGACGCTGCCAGGAGCCCGCTTTCTCCTCGGAAATGCAGAAGACCCGGACGTGGGCTCCAACTCCCTGCAGAGTTACCAGCTCAGCTCCAACGCCAACTTCGTGCTGGAGGTCAGGGAGAGCCAGGACGGGGAAAAGTACGCGGCGCTGGTGCTGCAGAAGCCTCTGGATCGGGAAAGGCAGCCCGGGCTGCACTTGGTCCTCACGGCAGTGGACGGGGGGCAGCCCGCCAGAACCGGCACGGCTCGCGTCTGGGTCAACGTCACCGACGCCAACGACAACGCGCCCGTCTTCACCCGGGACGTCTACAAGGGGCGCGTGCGGGAGGGCGCCCCCGCGGGCTCCCTCGTGCTCCAGCTGAACGCCTCCGACAGCGACGAGGGCGCCAATGCGCATGTCTCCTACGGGTTCAGCAAAGTTCCCGGGAAGGTCCGAAAGAAATTCAGCCTGGAGGCGGAAACGGGGAGGATCACGGTGAGGGCGCC